GAGTCTTCCCCATTCTTGTAACCCCTGGTACTTCCAGCTGTGTCTTGGCTAGGGGATCTCCCTTTCCCTTCTCCGTGCTCTCAGGTCATCTCCAATTTGCTGGGCAGAAAAATTCACTGCCAGCTGTTCCTCAGGGAATGGTTCTGATTTCTTCCCTGTCCTGCCTAGCGTGTCCTGTCGCACGAATCTAACAGTCTGAGCGTGCTCAATCAGTGCTGTCTAAAACCACTTTCACCTCCTTTGGTTACGACCCAGCAGAGGGTAATGGAAGTCTTATTAGCCCCTGCTGCCAACACTCCTGACACGAGCAGTTCCTTGACGCCGTTGCTAGTGACCCGTGCACAGGTGATGGAATCCGGGTACTTCTGTCTCCGGATTCCTGGAAGCTTCTGCCCATGTTCCTCCCATAGTCTTCATCTCCACAGGCTCTGGCTTAGCTGTGTTTACATGGAGACCTGCTCCCAATTCGCTCTGCCATTCACAGAAGTTGTCATTTCCTCCTCCCGACATCCTTCTGCATGTCAGATGCTCATCACGGTGATGAAAAGAGGTGGGCTCGGTGCAGGACTGGTAAAAGCTGGCTGCCATTTCCAAAGGGTCTCTGGCTTGTGGGCAGGGCTGAGGGACTTATCTTGTACCAGGTCACTTTGCTTTTTTAGTGCTTTCTTTTCCCTCCAGGTCCCCTGATAGACTTTCTTAGGGAAGGGCTCCAAGGCTTTTTGCTCTGCAAAGACCATATCAACCCTTCCTGTATCATGGGCTTTCACGTGCTGCAAAAGGTGTCTCCTTCTGCCTTCTCTTGTCTGTATCCAGGACTCCTGAGACTTTTGTTTCAAACCTGGCAGGTTTTCCCCGCTTCTGTGGTCATCTCCCCTTCTGGGATGATCCTCCTATTGGATGGGATGATTGCTTTCATTGCCGCTAGTTCTCATAAAACCGTCTATTCCTCTGTCCTGTTGGGAATGACCCTCTCTCCCAGATATCTCCTGGTCAAATATATGTCCTGGATTCTGTTCACTGCTGCCAGGCCTCACTTTAAATCTTCCCAGAGAAGAAACTCACTTCCATTCCTTTGCCTGGAATGACGCTGAGAAGATAGATGTTATCCAGCCACCAGTGTGTCCACCATCTCTTTATTTTGGTGCCTTGTAAATACTGAAAGCTTCATCTTTCTGCTCTTTAGCACATCACACGTCACTGCATCTCCACCCCCATCCCTGTCGTCTCATACCTGTTTTATACCTCCAAGTGGTGGGTACAGTACTATGTTTCCTATGACCGTCCCCCCAGCACCTGGGTGACAAGGGCCATCATCTCTTGCATTCTAAATGTCCTCCCTCCCTTGTCCTTCAAGGCCCCAGCCCGCTTCCTGTGAGGTCTTTGAATATGGCTCGCCGGCCTACTGGGTGATAAAAAGTTCATGATTCGGCCCCACATTGAAAAAGGTTGACCCCCCTGCCATAGGCTTAAATTTCCATTTATATTTAGCAGTGAGATTAGATTCCTCAGCGCAAGGTAGCCATGCCTCTACAGCACCCTCTCCCACGGCATGATGGATTTGTAGTTCCCCGTGGAAATCTACATGGTGGGTCGAAGCTCTGTGTAGCCAATATTCAAGGACAAGAGAGAGGCGTGGGACTTTCCCTGGTGTCTCCTGGTCAGGTCCAGCTGGGACGAGGAAGTGTTGACTCGTGATCTGAGGCTGCATTAAATGGCTCCATGGGGTGGTGGGATTCACAAGCTTCCATGTTACGGGGGGAAGTGGATCCCCCACAGCTCGTGTCTTTGTGCTTTGTCTCTGGGCCATGAGTGTCACAGTCTCGGGAGTCAGCAGGGAGTGCACGCGCAGGTTCATGCCCAGATCTTTGTCCCCGGGTAGATTCTGGTGACGTGCAGGCCACCTGGGCCCCATCAGCAGAGGAAAGCCACATAGACCTGGTCCAATCTCCACACCTTTCCCTGGAAGCAGGAAGGAGGCACAGCCCTGTTCCTTTCAGGAAAGAGACCCCAGCTCTAAGTCCTCCTCTCCCAGAACAGGTTTTGGAGGCAAGAGGGGTGAGCCATATGGGCTTTTTCTACCTTGGAGATGCATCTGGTCCAGTGTAAAGCCATTCTCCCCATACACCCCTGACTTCTGGGGAGCCCCAGAAATTCACCATGAGGCTATCCATCCTGGTACCTGACACTGCTCTCAGGACTGCCAGAGATGATGGGCAAGTACTGGAGAGCAGTCTCAACAATGCACTTGGGCTTGTGAAGCATGTCAGCCTAGGCAGGTGGAGGGCTCGGCATCATCTCCCCCTGGACCTGCTAGTGTTGTGGGACAGAGCAGCCCCTAGAGAGACTTCTTCCTTTCCGCTGAGTCTTCCTCTAGTCTCTTGTGCCCCTTAGAGGAGGAAGCCATTCAGGTCCTTCCCTAACACATGTCCCACGTGGGTTTCTCCCAGCAGGGCCTGAGAGGATGGGGCTGACAGCTGAGCCAGAAACCCTAAGCGCCTGGCTCTGACCTCCACTGAGCAGGGACCGTTAGCCCGGTACACAGACATACCCCTCCCTCAACCCTCCCTCCCTTGTGGTTTGGCAGGAAGACCATGTTCTCTTCAGAAGACTTAAGTGCCAAGGTGCAGTCATGCTCGCAGGCCCATCGCAGCAGAGGGTATAGCAGTATTTGGCCTGTGGCAGCAAGGCAGGGAGTAAGCTGGAGTTTCTCTTCCCCATGCAGGAGGCACCTGGCTGCTGTGCAGAGCTGAGAAACACAGTCTGGAAGAAGGGCCTGCAAACCTGGAGCCACCCTGGACTTCCCCCAGGGATTTGGCTGAGATGGAGTCCCTGAGACCTGAGGAAGACCAATGGCTCCAGAGCCAGGGGAGACCCCAAAAGCTGAGGGAGAACATAGCAGTGAAACAGGTGCCATCTTCCCCTGGGCATGAGAATAGAGAAAGCAGAGAGTCCAGAGAGAGCGCTGGGCCCAGGGAAGGATTTGTGGAGCTGAAGAGCCATAAGGTAAAGTTCCACCAGAAAGTAACCCTGTGTCCAAACCAAACCAGTGGGGAGGGACTGAGAGGGAAACAGGATGGTCCCACCAGGGCAGGGGTGCACTTTGCTCCTGGGCTTGAGTGCCAGAAAATCTTTTCCTGCCCCTCAAACCAGGCTCTGCCACCCGGGTGCCGTGAGTGTGGGAAGAACTTCACCCGCTCCTCCAGCCTGGCTGAGCACCAGGGCATCTATACCGGGGAGAAGCCATACCAGTGCTCTGAATGTGGGAAGAGCTTCAGTCGTTCCTCCTATCTGATGCGACATCAGCGCATCCATACCAAGGAGAAGCCATATCAGTGCCTTGAATGTGGGAAGAGATTCAAGGATTCGTCCTACCCCAAAAGCTGAGGGAGAACATAGCAGTGAAGCAGGTGCCATCTTCCCCTGGGCATGAGAGTAGAGAAAGCAGAGAGTCCAGAGAGAGCGCTGGGCCCAGGGAAGGATTTGTGGAGCTGAAGAGCCATAAGGTAAAGTTCTACCAGAACGAAACTCTGCATCCGAACCAAGCCAGTGGGGAGGGACTCGTGTGGGATTCGTCCTACCTGGCCCAGCAGCAACATATCCACACAGGAGAGAAACCACATCGTTGCTCTGTGTGCGGAAAGAGCTTCACCATTTCATCCTACCTGGCCAAGCACCAACACATCCACACTGGGGAGAAGGCACATCACTGCTCTGTGTGTGGGAAGAGCTTCACCTATCCCTCCCGTCTAGCACAACACCAATATATCCACACAGGAGAGAAGCTACATCAGTGCTCTGTGTGTGGGAAGAGCTTCA